GAGACTCTCAACTAAACCATGTTTACTTTACCAGAGACTCTCAACTAAACCATGTTTACTTTACCAGAGACTCTCAACTAAACCATGTTTACTTTACCAGAGACTCTCAACTAAACCATGTTTACTTTACCAGAGACTCTCAACTAAACCATGTTTACTTTACCAGAGACTCTCAACTAAACCATGTTTACTTTACCAGAGACTCTCAACTAAACCATGTTTACTTTACCAGAGACTCTCAACTAAACCATGTTTACTTTACCAGAGACTCTCAACTAAACCATGTTTACTTTACCAGAGACTCTCAACTAAACCATGTTTACTTTACCAGAGACTCTCAACTAAACCATGTTTACTTTACCAGAGACTCTCAACTAAACCATGTTTACTTTACCAGAGACTCTCAACTAAACCATGTTTACTTTACCAGAGACTCTCAACTAAACCATGTTTACTTTACCAGAGACTCTCAACTAAACCATGTTTACTTTACCAGAGACTCTCAACTAAACCATGTTTACTTTACCAGAGACTCTCAACTAAACCATGTTTACCTTACCAGAAACTCTCAACTAAACCATGTTTACTTTACCAGAGACTCTCAACTAAACCATGTTTACTTTACCAGATGCTCTCAACTAAACCATGTTTACTTTACCAGAGACTCTCAACTAAACCATGTTTACTTTACCAGAGACTCTCAACTAAACCATGTTTACCTTACCAGAAACTCTCAACTAAACCATGTTTACTTTACCAGAGACTCTCAACTAAACCATGTCTACTTTACCAGAGACTCTCAACTAAACCATGTTTACTTTACCAGAGACTCTCAACTAAACCATGTTTACTTTACCAGAGACTCTCAACTAAACCATGTTTACTTTACCAGAGACTCTCAACTAAACCATGTTTACTTTACCAGAGACTCTCAACTAAACCATGTTTACTTTACCAGAGACTCTCAACTAAACCATGTTTACTTTACCAGAGACTCTCAACTAAACAATGTTTACTTTACCAGAGACTCTCAACTAAACCATGTTTACTTTACCAGAGACTCTCAACTAAACCATGTTTACTTTACCAGAGACTCTCAACTAAACCATGTTTACTTTACCAGAGACTCTCAACTAAACCATGTTTACTTTACCAGAGACTCTCAACTAAACCATGTTTACTTTACCAGAGACTCTCAACTAAACCATGTTTACTTTACCAGAGACTCTCAACTAAACCATGTTTACTTTACCAGGGACTCTTAACTAAACCATGTTTACTTTACCAGGGACTCTCAACTAAACCATGTTTACTTTACCAGAGACTCTCAACTAAACCATGTTTACTTTACCAGAGACTCTCAACTAAACCATGTTTACTTTACCAGAGACTCTCAACTAAACCATGTTTACTTTACCAGAGACTCTCAACTAAACCATGTTTACTTTACCAGAGACTCTCAACTAAACCATGTTCACTTTACCAGAGACTCTCAACTAAACGGTGTTTACTTTACCAGAGACTCTCAACTAAACCATGTTTACTTTACCAGAGACTCTCAACTAAACCATGTTTACTTTACCAGAGACTCTCAACTAAACCATGTTTACTTTACCAGAGACTCTCAACTAAACCATGTTTACTTTACCAGAGACTCTCAACTAAACCATGTTTACTTTACCAGAGACTCTCAACTAAACCATGTTTACTTTACCAGAGACTCTCAACTAAACCATGTTGACTTTACCAGAGACTCTCAACTAAACCATGTTTACTTTACCAGAGACTCTCAACTAAACCATGTCTACTTTACCAGAGACTCTCAACTAAACCATGTTTACTTTACCAGAGACTCTCAACTAAACCATGTTTACTTTACCAGAGACTCTCAACTAAACCATGTTTACTTTACCAGAGACTCTCAACTAAACAATGTTTACTTTACCAGAGACTCTCAACTAAACCATGTTTACTTTACCAGAGACTCTCAACTAAACAATGTTTACTTTACCAGAGACTCTCAACTAAACCATGTTTACTTTACCAGAGACTCTCAACTAAACCATGTTTACTTTACCAGAGACTCTCAACTAAACCATGTTTACTTTACCAGAGACTCTCAACTAAACCATGTTTACTTTACCAGAGACTCTCAACTAAACCATGTTTACTTTACCAGAGACTCTCAACTAAACCATGTTTACTTTACCAGAGACTCTCAACTAAACCATGTTTACTTTACCAGAGACTCTCAACTAAACCATGTTTACTTTACCAGAGACTCTCAACTAAACCATGTTTACTTTACCAGAGACTCTCAACTAAACCATGTTTACTTTACCAGAGACTCTCAACTAAACCATGTTTACTTTACCAGAGACTCTCAACTAAACCATGTTTACTTTACCAGAGACTCTCAACTAAACCATGTTTACTTTACCAGAGACTCTCAACTAAACCATGTTTACTTTACCAGAGACTCTCAACTAAACCATGTTTACTTTACCAGAGACTCTCAACTAAACCATGTTTACTTTACCAGAGACTCTCAACTAAACCATGTTTACCTTACCAGAAACTCTCAACTAAACCATGTTTACTTTACCAGAGACTCTCAACTAAACCATGTTTACTTTACCAGATGCTCTCAACTAAACCATGTTTACTTTACCAGAGACTCTCAACTAAACCATGTTTACTTTACCAGAGACTCTCAACTAAACCATGTTTACCTTACCAGAAACTCTCAACTAAACCATGTTTACTTTACCAGAAACTCTCAACTAAACCATGTTTACTTTACCAGAGACTCTCAACTAAACCATGTTTACTTTACCAGAGACTCTCAACTAAACCATGTTTACTTTACCAGAGACTCTCAACTAAACCATGTTTACTTTACCAGATGCTCTCAACTAAACCATGTTTACTTTACCAGAGACTCTCAACTAAACCATGTTTACTTTACCAGAGACTCTCAACTAAACCATGTTTACCTTACCAGAAACTCTCAACTAAACCATGTTTACTTTACCAGAAACTCTCAACTAAACCATGTTTACTTTACCAGAGACTCTCAACTAAACCATGTTTACTTTACCAGGTAAGGCCCCACTGAGGTGCTACATAGCGCTCTTAGAGAAGCGAGCTGGCCACAAATGGTAGCCCAACGTCGTCATCATCATCACGTGGACATTTATAGCAACAGCCAAACACTCGGAACGCGTGACGTTGATTCTAAACGTGGAGGGAAAAACCGGAGGACCCTGAGAAAAATCCACGCCACCACGGGGAGAGAGAGAGAGGAATATTGACTCTTTGCGTGAATGCTGAAAAAGTAACCTGTCGCTGGAGGTACTGGTGAACGAGAGACATTGGTGTAAGAGATGCTGGTGTTAATTTACAAGCGTGTTTTTTTTTTAAACCAAAATATACCCCAAGAGACCACGGCGAGTCTCATTTGCAAGCGTGACCTCGGTCGCCAATAGGAAAAGTTAAAACAAAAACGTAAACTTAAGTGCTTTACAACTATTAAGCAAATAGGAATCAGATCAAAATGAGCAAATAGTAGAACAGAGCCGACCACATTGAAATAAAATTGGACACGGTGCACAAACATCAACCGGTGTTGAATAAAATAAACTTGAAAAGAGAGAGAGAGAGAACTTGCAAACTCCAAATATGCAACAGGCGTCAGGGTCGGGCTCGAACCCACGCGCTCCTGCCGACCGGGCGAGGTAGTCAACATCTCGCTACGGCAGCCGCCCAGCGCGCGAGGCCCCCCACGGCACGTGAACGATTGCCGTCACATCACCGCCGTTCCACGGTCTCTGCTCATGGACGTGACTCGCCCACCACGCTCAGTGCATGCCTCTGTCTCCAGCGGGTGTCTAGAAGGGGTTTTAAAAGAAGCCAAACGCGCTCGCTTCGAGTGAGCCACGCGGTGCGCGTAGCCCCATTGGGAGCCACCGGCCAGTGATGGAAATTGCGCATTCACAAGGTCGCGCTCAATGAGTAGACAAAGTGCTTGCCACAAATGAACCACCGCAACACCTCGCCGATTTCGTCAAGGAGCGTAAACCATCGTCATCATGATCATCATCATCACGCGAACTCCGCTCAGCAGCAGCAGTAGCGGCAGAGGCTTTTGGCTGCTGTCCATCGAACAAAGTCGGTGATCACCGCGTCGCGCGGCACTTTCAGGCGCGCTTTTGTGGCCGTCTGGAACGCTCTTCCTTCCGATATTAGAAAACCACTGGAGCTGTGCACTCTTAAATAATGTAAATTCAAAACTCATTTCGCTAAGACAGCTGTTTTGTTTGTTTAGTTCGCTGTCCTTCCCTCGCGCCTCCGATTCGCACAGTTGGCTACGTACGGTGCGAAAGAAGTCCTACATACAGATATATATGTATGGTCCATAGTTTGGGTTGTATGGCCGCACTTGCACCACTGTGGCTGGTGTCTTTAATTTTCCATTTTACGAAGGAGATAGATGGCTGCTGGCGATAATGATGCTGCTGCTGCTGCTGATGACAGACCGAGTCGAACCCTGGCCACGATTTGAACCCCGCCGACCTTCTGAGTCGCGAGACCGATCGCTCTGATCACCGATGTCCCAGCCACCCCGGGAGACAATCTCGGGAACAAATGTCCCATTGCATGCTCAAAATAAAAATAAAAAATAAACAACAACAACGCATCAAGCAAACATAAAACCCCTCCCGCCACCCCGTCCCACCCGGGCGGCGGACAGAGGCTGAGCAAATGAATCCGCTCGCTTTAAGTCGCGCGCTGTCGCAACGCGTGACGAATAACAACAATGACGGTAATAATAAAATAAAGCGCGTTCGCCAATCTTCAACGGTTGACATTTGTGCGCGGCACCGTGATCATGTTGATGCATTTCACATCGCAAACCCACAGTAATACCCCCTCCCCTTCCCCCCGCCTCCCGCGTTAAAATGCGCATCGCCTGTCTGACGCACGCGGCACGAACTCACCCCGCGCGCACGCCGCTCCTGGTGGTGCACAGCGCTTATCCAGCAGCTCGAAGAATTGATTTTATTTTACCGCAAAAAAAATCTAGCTTCGCCCCTCCCACGCATTAATGTGTATACACAGTGAGGGAAAAAAAGTATTTGATCCCCCGCTCATTTTGTACGTTTGCCCACTGACAAAGAAATGATCAGTCTATAATTTTAATGGTAGGTTTATTTGAACAGTGAGAGACAGAATAACAACAACAAAAATCCAGAAAAACGCATGTCAAAAATGTTATAAATTGATTTGCATTTTAATGAGGGAAATTAGTATTTGACCCCCTCTCAATCAGAAAGATTTCTGGCTCCCAGGTGTCTTTTATACAGGTAACGAGCTGAGATTAGGAACACACTCTTAGGGAGTGCTCCTAATCTCAGCTTGTTACCTGTATAAAAGACACCTATCCACAGAAGCAATCAATCAATCAGATTCCAAACTCTCCACCATGGCCAAGACCAAAGAGCTCTCCAAGGATGTCAGGGACAAGATTGTAGACCTACACAAGGCTGGAATGGGCGACAAGACCATTGCAAAGCAGCTTGGTGAGAAGGTGACAACAGTTGGTGCGATTATTCGCAAATGGAAGAAACACAAAAGAACTGTCAATCTCCCTCGGCCTGGGACTTTATGCAAGATCTCTCCTCGTGGAGTTGCAATGATCATGAGAACGGTGAGGAATCAGCCCAGAACTACACGGGAGGATCTTGTCGATGATCTCAAGGCAGCTGGGACCATAGTCACCAAGAAAACAATTGGTAACACACTATGCCGTGAAGGACTGAAATCCTGCAGCGCCCGCAAGGTCCCCTTGCTCAAGAAAGCACATATACATGCCCGTCTGAAGTTTGCCAATGAACATCTGAATGATTCAGAGGACAACTGGGTGAAAGTGTTGTGGTCAGATGAGACCAAAATGGAGCTCTTTGGTATCAACTCAACTCGCCGTGTTTGGAGGAGGAGGAATGCTGCCTATGACCCCAAGAACACCATCCTCACCGTCAAACATGGAGGTGGAAACATTATGCTTTGGGGGTGTTTTTCTGATAAGGGGACAGGACAACTTCACCGCATCAAAGAGACGATGGACGGGGCCATGTACCGTCAAATCTTGGGTGAGAACCTCCTTCCCTCAGCCAGGGCATTGAAAAGGGTCGTGGATGGGTATTCCAGCATGACAATGACCCAAAACACACGGCCAAGGCAACAAAGGAGTGGCTCAAGAAGAAGCACATTAAGGTCCTGGAGTGGCTTAGCCAGTCTCCAGACCTTAATCCCATAGAAAATCTGTGGAGGGAGCTGAAGGTTCGAGTTGCCAAACGTCAGCCTCGAAACCTTAATGACTTGGAGAAGATCTGCAAAGAGGAGCGGGACAAAATCCCTCCTGAGATGTGTGCAAACCTAGTGGCCAACTGCAAGAAACGTCTGACCTCTGTGATTGCCAACAAGGGTTTTGCCACCAAGTACTAAGTCATGTTTTGCAGAGGGGTCAAATACTTATTTCCCTCATTAAATGCAAATCAATTCATAACATTTTTGACATGCGTTTTTCTGGATTTTTGTTGTTGTTATTCTGTCTCTTACTGTTCGAATAAACCTACCATTAAAATTATAGATTGATAATTTCTTTGTCAGTGGGTAAACGTACAAAATCAGCAGGGGATCAAATACTTTTTTTCCCTCACTGTATATATATATTTTTAGCAAGTGTTGTAACCCACTGCATGTCCACACGTAGGGAGCGATCAGTGCAAGGGTTGGCGTGTTGCACTGGGTTGACTGCTGTGCCAGGCTAGGTGCAGGAGGTCACGAGACAGACCCAGGTGGTATGGGTTAGCGGACCGAGATGACTGGCACATGCACCACCTGTGCCCCCTACCGTGTCACCTCACTGTGGTTTTAGCCACCCGGCGCTCTACTCGTTGTTGTGTGAGCGTCGCTTCTCCTCAGAGACAGATCTGAAACGCCACTCACCGTTTCAGCTCCATTCAATCTGTTTGGCTGCGTCGGGTGGTGGAGGGCCCGACAACAGAAACGTTGTCCATACCAGTGCGTGACCTGACCCAGATATCCATTCTGAATCACACGATTGGCAGCGAACACATGCGTGTGTCACGTATGACAGCGTTACTGATGATGATGCTGATGCTGGTTTCAACTCACGACCTTCTGATGTCAAGTCAGGTGCCCTTACAACAGCAACACGTGGCCATTGCTGACACTTCTCTCTCGCAGCAAGAGGGCACCTGGGTTCGATTCCCGTGTTAAAATCAGAACTCCTTCGCAAGGATTGGCAAATCATCACAAACGCGGCAGGACTCCCCCCTTGTCAAAGAGCCTCGAGACTCTAAACTAAACTAAACGATATTCTTGGTTCTGTCGCTAAAGTCACGTAGAAGGGAAATAATAAAATAATACAAATAAAACAATTAAATTATCACGACCTGATGATGATTGCTGGTGTTGCAATCGAAACGTCGTGATAATTGTATTGTTTTATTTATTTTATTATTTTATTATTTCCCTTCTACGTGACTTTACCGAAAGAACCTAGAATATGAATCCCTGCAGTCACGAAAGCTTTAAATCGAAATGTAAACTAAACGATGTTTTTACTTTAACCGGGTGAGGGACCCCACTGAGCCGCTACGTAGCGCTCTTACAGAAGCGACCTGGCCCACAACTGATGAGATCAAGGAAGCGGATCAGCAGGTGGCACCTGTCCGGATTATTATTAGCAGGTGGCACCTGTCCGGATCATCAGCAGCAGGTGGCACCTGTCCGGATTATTATTAGCAGGTGGCACCTGTTGAAGTGGAGTTTGTTTGCTCTCCTCCTGTTCATGGGTTTCGTCCAGTTGCCTCCAAAAAGTTGAAAACACCGGCCCGCACAACGTCACTGATATTGGTCAATAACTGACTATGTTTCATTTTACCAAACTTGATTATTTTACCAGGTAAGGCCCACGCTGCTGCAACGTAGCTCTTTTGCTGAAGCCACCTGGCTTTCACAAACGATAGCTCAGCGGCCTATCGCGTGGACATTTATAGCAGCCAAAAACTCTACACGCGTGAAGTTGATTTTAAATGCGGAGGAATACGCCAGATGGGCCAGAGTAAAAATCCACGCGACCACGGGGAGAGAGAGACACGCACACTCCAAATATACAGCAGCAGCAGGCGTCAGGGTCGGGATCGAACTTGCGATCTCAGGGGGGGGGGGGGGGGGGGGGGGGGGGGCGGGGCAGCTAAAGCCCCCGCGTCCAGAAAAACAAAAACCCCAAGCCGACCTCCGTCGGCACCACCCTGGGTTCGAGTGCCGAGTCTCAGCCACCCCACGGCCTCACTCGGGGCTCTGCCTCTCTCTCGCTGTCTCTCTCTCTCCCGTGTGTGTGGAGGTCAGGGTCACAGCTCCCCGTTCCCCCAATAACCACCACCACCACCACGGTATAGCCTTGACAGACTGTTGGGGCAAGTGCTGTGAGCGAGTCGCAACTTGTGAAGGCCGGCACGGCGCACGAGTGCGATCGGAGTGCAACGTATCGGGAACGTAAGCAAATCACGAGATATGAATATATATACAAATACAACTATTATTTATAGTGCCAGGTAAGGCCTACTGAGCTACTAGTTTCTTTTTCAGAAGCGGCTTAGCCACGAATGACAGCTCAACGAAGTGGCTCATCATCACGGGGATGATTATGATGATGAGATGATAATGACAAGGTGATGATGAAGAGAGGGTAATGATGATGAGAGGTGATGATGATGATGATGAGAAGGCGATGATGATGAGAGGGTGATGATAATGAGAGGTGATAATGACGATGAGAAGGTGATGATGACGATGAGAGGGTGATGATGATGAGATGATAATGATGATAAGGTGATAATGACGATGAGAGGGTGATGATGATGAGAGGGTGATGATGAAGAGAGGTGATGATGATGAGGATAAGGTGATAATGACGATGAGAGGGTGATGATGATGAGAGGGTGATGATGAAGAGAGGTGATGATGATGAGAGGGTGATGATGAAGAGAGGTGATGATGAAGAGAGGTGATGATGAAGAGAGGTGATGATGATGAGAGGTGATGATGATGAGAGGGTGATGATGAAGAGAGGTGATGATGATGAGAGGGTGATGATGATGAGAGGTGATGATGATGATGATGGTTAACACAAAGAGGCAGAGAGCGCTGTACAGTGCTGCGTACCAAGATAATTGTCAGCAAGTAAAGTCCCAAGATCACGCACGCGACAAACACGCGTGGCGCTCCTGGGTCTCATCTGCAACATTCACGTCAATAGGTCAACAACAACAATGAATCCACAATGAGAGCGTCTTCTTCTCCCTATGCTCCGTGCTTCGTCTTGCTTCTTTTGCTTGAAATAATACTTATTATTGATCTCTCTAGAACGACGAAATAATGAAACAATCATTATTGATCTCTAGGACGACGAAATAATAAAACACTCATTATTGATCTCTCTAGAACGACGAAATAATAAAACAATCATTATTGATCTCTCTAGAACGACGAAATAATGAAACAATCATTATTGATCTCTCTAGAACGACGAAATAATAAAACAATCATTATTGATCTCTCTAGAACGACGAAATAATAAAACAATCATTATTGATCTCTCTAGAACGACTAAATAATAAAACAATCATTATTGATCTCTCTAGAACGACGAAATAATAAAACAATCATTATTGATCGCTCTAGAACGACGCTGGGCGGAGGATCGCGAGAGACGGCGATGCCTCGGAAAAGTCCCCATCCAGCAGTGGATCGACCAGGGCTTGCTGCTGTTGTTGACGCTGCTGTTGTTGTTGATATTGCTGCTGCTGTTGATGCTGTTTCTGCTGTTGATGCTGCTGTTGCTTCTGTTGTTGTTGCTGCTGCTGCTGCTGTTGTTACTGCTGCAGTTGTTGTTGTTGCTGCTGTTGTTGCTGCTGCTGTTGTTGTTGCTACTGCTGGCTAAAAAAAGGTTGTCTCCACGCTTTTTGGAGTTGAAATCCGGATTATGTCGATGGCACAAAGCGTTCACGCCGTGCGTTTGACCTTCCCCGACCCCCCCAAAAGGCGCTCAGTTCACCAGGCGATTGTAACCCCTCCCCCACCACCCCTCCCTGCTAAGCCTCTTAGCTTCATCGTAACATCACGAAGCCGTGATCTTTCGTGTCATTGTTCTGTTTTGTACGTAATAGAAGGACGCAGCCCCCCGCCCACCTCGCCCCAGCCCACAAGCAAACTAGAAGAGGCTCCCGAAACGTGCGGCGAAACGTCGGAACGTCATGCCGAAACAAGCCGAAGATCACGCTGCGCGGGAGAAAGACGGAGCGCTGTGGAGTTCCAGTAAATGACTGGGTGTGGGAACCCATCCCCCTCTACCCGCTCCCGTCAGAGGAGACTCATCTGTCTTGCCTCTTGACTTTGGGATGAGTTGAGCCCACGAGCCGGGGTTTGAACTTTCGCGACCTTTCTGATGGCCCTGGCGGCCGCAGAGTGCATGTCGCGTGGCTTGTCACCATCGCTAGAACTCCCCGTTGCCAGTCCCGGACGCTCACTGCCTGCACCGCGGCCGCATGCCACAGACTTTCCATTCCACGTGGCGAGTCGATTATTTATTCACTTATCTTCGCCGCGTTAAAATGAGAACCCCTTCGCAAGGATTGACAACACATCACAAACGTGGCTGGCCTCCTCCTTGTCAAAGTGTCTCGACACTCTCAACTAAACCATGTTTACTTTACCAGAGACTCTCAACTAAACCATGTTTACTTTACCAGAGACTCTCAACTAAACCATGTTTACTTTACCAGAGACTCTCAACTAAACCATGTTTACTTTACCAGAGACTCTCAACTAAACCATGTTTACTTTACCAGAGACTCTCAACTAAACCATGTTTACTTTACCAGAGACTCTCAACTAAACCATGTTTACTTTACCAGAGACTCTCAACTAAACCATGTTTACTTTACCAGAGACTCTCAACTAAACCATGTTTACTTTACCAGAGACTCTCAACTAAACCATGTTTACTTTACCAGAGACTCTCAACTAAACCATGTTTACTTTACCAGAGACTCTCAACTAAACCATGTTTACTTTACCAGAGACTCTCAACTAAACGATGTTTACTTTACCAGAGACTCTCAACTAAACCATGTTTACTTTACCAGAGACTCTCAACTAAACCATGTTTACTTTACCAGAGACTCTCAACTAAACCATGTTTACTTTACCAGAGACTCTCAACTAAACCATGTTTACTTTACCAGAGACTCTCAACTAAACCATGTTTACTTTACCAGAGACTCTCAACTAAACCATGTTTACTTTACCAGAGACTCTCAACTAAACGATGTTTACTTTACCAGAGACTCTCAACTAAACCATGTTTACTTTACCAGAGACTCTCAACTAAACCATGTTTACTTTACCAGAGACTCTCAACTAAACCATGTTTACTTTACCAGACACTCTCAACTAAACCATGTTTACTTTACCAGAGACTCTCAACTAAACGATGTTTACTTTACCAGAGACTCTCAACTAAACCATGTTTACTTTACCAGACACTCTCAACTAAACCATGTTTACTTTACCAGAGACTCTCAACTAAACCATGTTTACTTTACCAGGTAAGGCCCCACTGAGGTGCTACATAGCGCTCTTACAGAAGCGAGCTAGCCGTCACAAACGACAGCTCAGCGAAAGCGGCTTCTCGTCACGTGGAGATGGGTAATCTAAACACGTGGCGATCTAAGCACGTGGCGATCTAAGCACGTGGCGATCTAAGCACGTGGCGATCTAAGCACGTGGCGATCTAAGCACGTGGCGATCTAAGCACGTGGCGATCTAAGCACGTGGCGATCTAAACACGTGGCGATCTAAACACGTGGCGATCTAAACACGTGGGTGATATAAACACGTGGCAATCTAAACACGTGGCAATCTAAACACGTGGCAATCTAAACACGTGGCGATCTAAACACGTGGCGATGTAAACACGTGGCGATCTAAACACGTGGTAATCTAAACACGTGGCGATCTAGACACGTGGCGATCTAATCACGTGGTAATCTAAACACGTGGCGATCTAAGCACGTGGGCAATCTAAACACGTGGCAATCTAAACACGTGGCGATCTAAACACGTGGCGATGTAAACACGTGGCGATCTAAACACGTGGTAATCTAAACACGTGGCGATCTAGACACGTGGCGATCTAATCACGTGGTAATCTAAACACGTGGCGATCTAAGCACGTGGGTGATATAAACACGTGGTAATCTAAACACGTGGCGATCTAGACACGTGGCGATCTAATCACGTGGTAATCTAAACACGTGGCGATCTAGACACGTGGCGATCTAGACACGTGGCGATCTAAACACGTGGCGATCTAATCACGTGGGTGATATAAACACTTGGCGATATAAACACGTGGTAATCTAAACACGTGGCGATCTAAACACGTGGCGTCGGTTGTAAACTGTGGAGGGAAAAACCGGAGGACCTTCATAGGTGCTCGCTAACAGCACTTGCCCCAACAGTCTGTTACAGGCTATGGGGGGGATCTTTGTCTTTGTTTGTATTTGTTATACGTGCAGTCATTGGTGAGCTAAACTAAACTATTATTTTTATCATCATTTACTAGGTAAGACCCACAGATCTACAGCGCTCTGTTTCAGAAGCGACCTGGCCACAAATCATCAGCTCCTTGCAGCGGGGAACAGCCCCGGGTTGGACCACAGGCACTGGCTCGGATTTGGAACGCGAGCAGCGACTGCCTGGACGCCTCTGACCCCTGTTCGACCCCGGGCCCGGGTCAAGTCTCCCGCGCGGGGTGGGGGCTCTTCACCCCCCCCCCCTCCCCGCCTCCGCACGCCCTCCGCCGTTGTCGCTCGCACCGCTCACTCTCCGCCTCGCCGGACACGGGCGCTATCGATCGCTCCGCCGTGCTCTCGGCGCGACCTTGGGCAGCATGCACGGTGAGAGCGAAAGCACCACCACGGAGTGCGCGTGATGAACACCACGAGCGGCAGCAGCAGCAGCAGCAGCGGCGGCGGCGGCAGCGTCACTGGGCAGGCGCACGTGGAGCGAGGGGACGGGACAGCCGTGGCTTAAGCTCCACTCCATCACGCGGTGAGGCGAGTAAATCCATTTGTTTAAACTGCCAAGGTTAACTGGATTTGCTTGACGGGCCCTCTTAATAAACCACCGCCGCGCTCGACCGCCCTCCCCTTATCGGGCCGCCGATGGCTCGGAGCGAGAATCCCGTCGGCAAGGTTACGCGGAGGATTAATAGCGGCGCGTGCACGCGCGTCTATTACGCGTGGCACTTTGTCAATGCCATCATCATCATCATCGTCGTCGTCGTCGTTGTCATCGTTACGGTCGCTATGATCGTCGTGTGATCGTCATCATCTTAATCATCATCATCATCGTCATTGTCATCCTTGTGATCATGATCATCGTCGTCATTTGTCATGATCATTTCGTCATCGTCATTATGACGGCCGCTCTTGGCGTCGTGTGATCGTCGCCATGTCAATCATCAGCATCGTCATGGTAAACCTTGGTCTGGCGAGGAGCACGTGGGCCGTGTTGTCGCCGTGGCACGGCGGGAGTGGAGCCGAGGAGGCAAAGAATGGAAATGGAAAAAGAAGCGGGCAAGAGAAGGGAGGCCGTGAAGACGGAGAGGGGAAGGACACGGCACTAGATGATGGCGACACGGGGGCTAGGAGATGTCGACTACCTCGCCTGGTATGCAGGAGGTCGCCTGTTGGATCCCGACCCTGACGCCTGCTGCTGCTGTATATTTGGAGTGTGCGTGTCTCTCTCTCTCTCTCTCTCCCCGTGGTCGCGTGGATTTTTCTCTGGGCCATCTGGCGTATTCCTCCGCATTTAAAATCAACTTCACGCGTTTAGAGTTTTTGGCTGCTATAAATGTCCACGCGATAAGCCGCTGGCAAGGTCGCTTCAGCAAAAGAGCAAGCACAGTGGGCCTTACCTGGTTAAATAAAACAAAGAGTTATTCATGATAAAGGTTTTTGGGTTAGATCGCGTTATTTATAAATGTGTCGTAACCCTCCACCACCCGACACGGCCAATCAGCAAAAAAAAAGTGTCACGTTGACAAAAAGACACAAATAGTTCACTACTTTAGCCCACCGGTGTGTTGAAGAGTGAATCCACAACATTTACAGTTTGAGTAGCACGACGTTTCGCTGGTAAATACATCCAGCATCATCAGGCAATTCACCAGAATGGTAAAGCCCTCGCTTGCTCCCGGTTTTAAATAGAGCAGCAGTAGGGTGACGTCATCATTTAACTCATATCAGGTGCAGTGATTTGAGGCGGAGGGGGGTATTGTAATTATATAATCGATTAGTAATCAGTCAATGGTTATGATTAGTAATGAAAACAGAGTTAGTTATTGGCCAATACCAGTGACGTTGTAGGGGGTTTTCAACTTCAGAAGGAATCTTGCGTGTGTGTCTCTCTCTCTCCCCGTGGTCGCGTGAATTTATCCCCGGCTCCTCCGGTTTTTTGCCTCCGCATTTAGAATCAACGTGCGTTCAGAGTCTTTAGCTATTGCTCTATATTTTCCACGTGATGATGATAAGCCACTTCGTTGAACTATATCATTTGTGGCCAGGACCCTTCTGAAAGAGAGCTATATAGCTCAGTGGGCCTTACTTGGCAAAATAAAAAATAGTTAGAGATTCTAGTTTAAGACGAGCAGCAGTGAAGTGAGGGGAATACACTGGGCAGGAAGGGGAGAGAGAGGGGGGGAAGGAACGACCGGGCCCAGATGTCTGGGATGACGACAGTGTGATGATGATGATGAGAGGGTGATGATGATGAGAGGGTGATGATGATGATGAGAGGGTGATGATGATGATGAGAGGGTGATGATGATGATGAGAGGGTGATGATGATGATGAGAGGATGATGATAGGGTGATGATGATAGGGTGATGATGAGAGGGTGATGATGATGAGAGGTTGATAATGATGATGAGAGGGTGATGATGATGAGAGGTTGATAATGATGATGATGAGAGGGTGATGATGATGATAGGGTGATGATGAGAGGGTGACGATGACGGTGAGAGGGGATGGAAGAGGGGGAGAAGAGAGAAGGAAGGAGCGAGTGGGAGTGAGACGCACAGAGGAGCGGCGTCTGTTTCCACAGGGGGCGGAGTCGGGGGGGGGGGGGCTCAGAGTGGGCGTGGCCACAGAAGAGGCGTGGAGGGCTCGAGGTGGCTTGGATTTCGCGATGTGGACCGTGACATCGGCACGCACGGCCTACCGGTTAATGCACCTCCGATTAGCATGGTTGGCTACGTACGGTGCGAAAGAAGTTCAACATACATACAAAGACAAAGATTCCCCATTTAGCCTTTAACAGACTGTTGGGGTAAGTGCTGTTATCGAGCATCTATGAAGGCCGGCACGGCACACGAGGGGGTGGGTGGCCAGCACCACGCCCGGCCGCCTTTGTCTCCCTAGTGGCGATATTTTCACGTACCGCACCAGGTACTCATTTGAGGCTGAGTTGAGCTAGGAGAGGCCCAGAACCGGTTCAGATAATCGTCACTGGTGTTGACCGTGAGCGGGAATCGAACTCGGATCGCCAATGTTGGTAGCACAGCGCGCCAATCACAGCACCACCGCTCCCCGTGCACATATAGCAATGACACACACGTGGAGTAACATGCACACAAACACACGCACTTTGCTCTTCACATTGCTGGTGTCGGCAATGCAGCAGCAGCTGCTGCTTGTTATGCACGTGTCGTGTGTGTGGTGTGTGTTGTGTGTGTGTTGTGTGTGTGTATGTGTGTGTTGTGTGTGTATGTGTTGTGTGTGTTGTGTGCGTATCCGCTGTGTAGGGAGCGGTGGCGCAGCGGTTAGCGCTATGCTGCGCTACGAACCCGGTGACCCGAGTCCGATTCCCGCTCACGACCACCACCACCGGTGGCGATTACCTGAACGGGTCCTGGGCCTCCCGTAGGTCGACTCAGCCTCAAATGAGCACCTGGTGCAGTGTGTACGCATCGCTACTGCGGATACAAAGGCGGTCGGGCGTGCTTCTGGCCACCTAGCCCCTCGTGGTGTACCGTTCTGGTCTCATCCATAGGTTCTTGTTAACGGCACTTGACCCAACAGTCTGTTGAAGGCTATACGGGCGATCTTTGTCTCGTCCGCCGTGTGTGGAGGTCACGCCACTGTCATTGGCACTTAGCGATTTTATTGACCGGGGGAAATTGAGCGGCGCGTCAATAACGCACCGTGGTTCCATCTGAGCAACGCACAGACAGAACAATGAGCAAATAAATAGTCGCGCCCTCCGACGTTGTCTGATCACTGCGTTCCCACAACCGCTGGGAAGCGAGCCGGGCGAAAGGGGCCCGTGTCTGTTCCGGTTCACATTAAACCCACGGCAGGCAGCCTTGCCAGGCCATTCACAGCGTCGAGCAGCCTCGGTTCAGTCTGTCAATCCCCCCCCCCCCTCCCTCCCTGTAAACAGCTATAATTTTACAGCAGCGAATAAAAAGAAACCGGCTATGCCAAGTTGTTTCAACCGGCGTACGGAGAGAAGGAATGTAACTTGGCGACATCTCGATTGCGAGTCGAGTGTTGCTCACCGTTACACTTATTCGTCTTGCGTACGGCTGCTGATGTAGATGCAGGACAAGGGCGACAATGTAACATTCAGGTGGTGAAGCCAGGCGTTCCATCGTCATCGCTGCGATGCCTCCTTCATATGTACGGTGCGGGGCATCGCGTCGTTACGGTGTCGGTTCTGGACGACCACAGTCGCACCACGACAACTGGAGAGATTTTCTTTATTTTATTTTCCTTTTTTGTGCATCATCAGGTGTCATCCGCACCTACTGCTGCCGTGGCTCGTGCAGTGGATGCGGTTTAGGGTCGACCACGAGCAGTCTTCGTGGACGATCAAACCCCCGTGGATCTTCTGCGTTGGCTCTTCCACCGGTCGCCACGAGCGACAGCACCCGCTGATCCGGCACTGTGGAAGCGGCGGCGAGGGTTGGTGCATCTCAGCAGAGGCGTTGAGGACCTCTCTTCATGCGGGCAGTCGAGGAGGAGTTGTCCCCTATCTCGCCAGGAAAAGGCGGTACGGGAAACACGTGAACGCCGCCTGTCCCGTCTGTACGGGATCGAGTGCCCCCCCCCTCGCAGGCGTTGGGTTTCCTCCCACACGTAAACACTCGTTAATTGGTTTTAGTCACGAGATCAAACTTGTCAAACACGCGCTAAAAAGTCTAAAACTAAACTCGAATTTTATTTCACCAGGTAAGGCCCACTGAGCTGTACAGTATTTTTTCAGAGGCGACCTTTCTACAAGTGATAGCTCAACGAAGTGGCTTGTCGCGTGGAAACGCATGGCAGCCAAACACTCGAAACGCGTGTTGATTCTAAATGTGGAGAGAAAAACCGGAGGGCCTGAATGGAAGCCACGACTTCCTGCATACCAGGCGAAGGAGTAAACATCACGCCACCACGGCGCCCCAAATCGACAGCGCATTGAGCGTTCGAGACAAACCAAGTAACAAAAATAGAGAAGCCATTGAAAATGCATACACATCGATTAACCTCCCGATATAGCCATCGATAAACTGGCGAGATTGTGGGAGAAGAGAGAAAACAAAACAACAATCCGAGTGGGATTGTGTGGCACAGTACACGCACAGAGTACAACAGCCCAGGGCTGGGACCAAGGCGTGAATGTTACCCAAGATAACAACGGCAGGAGGGCACGAGCGCAGGGCCCAGCAACCTGCGGGTCACGAGCCGCGTGCGGCTCTTGAAGAAGGGACCGCTTCGTGATGTTACTGATTAAAGGAGCACCACCGTCTCGTGCTCACACACACAGCAGAGTGCAGTGGTGGTGGGTGGTGCGGGTTGGTGGTGGGTAGTGGGTGGTGGTGAGTGGTGGGGGTGGTGGTGGAGAGTGGTGGTGGTGGGTGGGTGGCGGTGATGGTGGTGGTGGTGGCGGTGGTGGCAGGTGGCGGTGGTGGGTGGTGGTGGGTAATGATAGTGGGTGGTGGTGGTGGTAGTGGGTGTTGGTGGGTGGTGGTGAGTGGTGGTGGTGGGTGGGTGGCGGTGATGGTGGTGGTGGTGGTGGGTGGTGGTCGGTAATGATAGTGGGTGGTGGTGAGTGGTGGGTGGCGGTGGTGATGGTGGTGGGTGGGTGGCGGTGATAGTGGTGGTGGGTGGTGGTGGGTAATGATAGTGGGTGGTGGTGGTGGTGGTGGTGGCAGGTGGCGGTGGTGGGTGGTGCTGGGTAATGATAGTGGGTGGTGGTGGTGGTGGGTGTTGGTGGGTGGTGGTGGGTAATGATAGTGGGTGGTGGTGGTGGTGGTAGTGGGTGTTGGTGGGTGGTGGTGGTGGCGGTGGTGGTGGTGGTGGAGGCGGTGGCCAGGACGCGCCCAGGGGTGGGTTACGGGGTGCCACGGCAGGTCCCAGGGGAACTCCGAGTCCCGAGACCTCGACTCAGCGGACTCAACTGTTGGCAGCTGCCGGACACGCGGCCGGTCATCGTTCAGAGGACGCTCGGAATGATGTCGACCACCATCGCTGTTGTCGATGTTCTGTGAGGAACACGATTGCCGTGGGCCAAGGCCAAAGTGAAAGGGAATCCGTTGGGATTCGAGAGAGAAAGTTACAGAGAGTAATTACAAAGTCAGAATAGGAATAATTATTGGCCCTGGAGGAATTTGTTGGGATTCGAGAGAGAAAGTTAAAGGGCATGTACAGAATCAGAATATTGATTGACGCTGGAGGAATACTTTGGGATTCGAGAGATAAATTTACAAGTAATTTATATACAACGGAGTTGACTGCAACAATGGTGAATGATGCTTGCGGCGTGTTTACATTAATTGAAACGCAACGTCATTAACACCATAATGTTCACTTAAGCCAGAGTGGTTCTCAACTGGGGGTGCATCCCGCAAGCCCTGAGGGTGCGAGATTACCTACTTGGGGTACGCGAGACGCGGCCAGATTTTTTTAGAGGGTAAATCATCAAAAAACAAATTTAACACGGGCGTGTAAGTACAGCTTACGTTGTTTCATCCAACCTATGTATTTATTATAATTTATTAACGTTATAATTTATTTTTTTAAGATTGAGAACCAACGAGGTGCAAGGCTTCAGTAAAAGTTAAGAACCACTGATTTAAACCTAGATAACGTCATTAACAAAAACACAACAAAGTGTGCATTCACATTGATTTCAACTCGCACAACGTCGCTGTAACATTCATAGACCATTAAGTGGAACTCGTTGACTATGGCTAACCGGTGGCGCCACGTCAACGCGTTAACTCGACTGGCACAACGTGTCACAGTGAGACGCACCGCCCTCGTTGAAGTCGCTTAGACAAACCTGTTTCACTGCACGGCAAGTCGACACGCCGTCATCTATTACCACATCTAACAAACCCCCTGGCTCCCCTTAATGACGCACACTGGTGATGACGTCACAACGCCTATTGGCGGACGGCTTCACGACGATGGTGGCCGAAACCATCGGCGAAACGTCGGACTAGCCGCTTGCTAAGCGCGTGTGGATCGCTCTCCGACGACGCTGCCGCTGAAGTGGAAATAAATTGACCCACGTTTGTGCACCACGTGACGACATTAGTCATTAACCCAGTCAGGTGGAGGAGGTCTACGACACACAGTTTACTCACGCAGCGATCTGATCACAAATTAATATATACATATATAGAGTATTGCAGAGCGTGGGCAATTGTTGGTGGCTTGTTGTGTGTTAGCTTGTTGCGATTTCCACGCACCTCCGATTAGCACGGTTGGCTAGTACGGTGTAAAAGAAGTTCAGGGTGAGGTGCATCCGTAGCGTTCACTGGCCCCTCGTCGCCTGCCTTCTACCACTGCCACCGCTGCCTCTCCGTGTTGTGGTTAAACCTCCTGGCGACTCTGACACGAACACAAACTAAACATTTTTTTTTTATTATTTCACGAGGCAAGGCCCGCTAAGCTATGCAGTGCCTTTTCAGAATCCACCTGGCCATTTAAGGGTAGCTTAACGAAGTGGCTCAACATCACGTGGAAATTTACGGTAGCAACGTAATTTATAAACACGTGATGTTGGTTCTAAACGTGGAGGGAAAAACCGCAGCACGTAGGGAAAAATGCACGCGACCACGTGAACAGAGAGAGAGACGCAAACTCCAAATATACAGCAGCAGCAGGCGTCACGGTCGGCATCGAATCCACCACCCCCTGTATACCAGGCGAGGGAGTTAACATCTCCTAGCCACCGTGGTACGATTACTCACGCCACTCTGAACTGGGAATCATGGGTGTCATTGGTTGACAGCAGCAGCCATTGCGTGCCGTTACACAGCGGGTTCATAGCGGATGTTCATTTTGGCGAGACTAGCCTCTGTTAAGGGAATGTGGAATTTCCACCGCCTGCGAACGTGCAGGAGTTCAGTAGAGGCCCGGGCAGGACACGTCACGGCTCACAGGGGATTGGGGGCCGATGGCCCAGACCCCTCGTGATGGAGTGGCAGCCAACCGATGGAATGCGACCGAGAGCGGACGAGCAACCGGGGAGATGGAGCGGTGAAACCAGCTCACGTGCAGTCGCCAAGATCATGAGTTGGCGGCTGCAGCGGCGGCTTGGGGGAGGCCCTCATCCAGCAGTGGATTGACCATGGCCTATGACGACGACGACGACGTTAACGTAACTCGAGCGGTAGGAATCGGAACGTAATTGATGCATCACAGCTTAATGACGTTAAAATATATCTACACCAAAAACATAATGACAGACATTTTTCAAAAGTGACTCATTACGTCGGAATGCATTATTAATGGAAAGCTCATTAGACGCTGATGTTCTGTTTTGTTGTTGTTACAATTTAACTAAAGTCAATATGCGCATAATACTACGACAGCTTCATCAATAATGCATTTCATTCTGGGATAATTAGCCCGTCGACAGAAAATCGCTGCGTTCCGCGCTGCCAGGAAAATGCGTGCGGCCGTCATTATCCACCCTCGCCATTATCCACGGCCGCTAATGTGTGACGCGAGTTCATAGGTCACGCGGTGGCTCAGTCTGAGCCCTCCCCTCCACGTGTCTGCTTAGCCACTCGCATGGCCTGCAGATTATAAAACAAACACGTGGGTCGCCGGGTTCGTAGCGCAGCGCGCTAACCACTGCGCCCCCCCCATACCTCCAACAAAGACAAAGATTCCCCGTATAGCCTTAACAGACTGGAGGGGCAAGTGCTGTTAGCGAGCACCTATGATGGCTGGAATGGTACACGAGGGGGTGGGTGGCCAGCACCACGCCCGACCGCCTTTGTCTCCCCAGTGGCGATGTTTACACACCGCATCAGGTACTCATTTCAGGCTGAATCTACCTAGGGGAGGCCCAAAACCGGTTCGGATAATCGTCACTGCTGTTGGTCGTGAACAAGAATCGAACCCTGGTGGCTGGGTTTGTAGCCCAGCATAGCGCTAACCGCTGCACCACCGCTCCCCCAACACGCACACACAGACGCACCCAAATACAACTACAGACACACACCAATAGACAACAGATGCAGACAAATACACATCGACAGCCACAGACACACACAGAGAGATACACAAAACAAAGACAAAGATCCTCCGTATAGCCGTTAGCGAGTAGCAGCACCTATGAAGGCCGGCACGGCACACGTGGGGGTGGGTGGCCAGCACCACGCCCGGCACACAGACGCACACAGACACAAAGCCGACACACACACACACGCACAGAGAGACAAACAAAAGACACGCTCACACTTTTATTTTTGTTAAATATACGTCCACTCTGAATCATTGGCATCGCCTCTCCCGCCAGCTCGCGCTTTGAATTCACTTTGAACGATCGGCTGCTCTGTGGAGGCGCGTCCACTCCGTGCCTACGAAGAATCCCTTTCCAATCCCACTCAGGGCGAGCGGCAACTCGCCGAATCTTATTCCGGCCACCTTCACCCCCCGACCCTCTTACTCTAAGAGTCTTTAGATTTGGCTCAGAGGGATCGAGGAGCTCAGGATGGACGGGGAGTGGGGGGGGGGCTCTTATCCGCATTGTTTCCGGATGAGGCCGTGGGTGCAACCGATGCGAGTGGCGTCCAGAGTCGCCTTCCTCTGGCTGCGCTTTGTACACATCCTGCTCACGGGGCTCCATGACACACGCAGATACAAGAGGTTCAAGAAGAAGAACCCCCATCGATCTGGCTGTGGACGATTTGTTAAAAGCATTCTACAGAAGAAAAAAAATAGCATATATATAAGTCATATTTATAAAAATATACCTAACGTTCTAAATGTATTTTTATATATATAAATTTATATTCCCCCCCTTCCCCCACCGCAAAAGTCTATTCCAATTGAACTCGACGTCAAATCGTCACCAGACGAAACATCCGTTCAGATCTCATTGCATCAACCACGGCTGCTGTTGGTGGTGGTGACGATGATGGTGTTATAACACCGGGCAAGTTCTCTATGGCACTATCTATTAAAATAAAATAATAATGACAACAATCTCCCCCCCCCTCCCGGCCTATCCGTATTGTTGTCGGTGTCGGTGTCTCGTGGTCAAGAGACTTTAGGGGTCCACGTGGGCATCATCGAGGGATAAACAAAAACTGCCCGCGGAAGTGGATAGGACAGAGGTACCTCCGAGGTGCCTTCAGTAGACGGCAGCACCGAGCCACTGGGAGGAATGCTCGTCACGTGACGGCCAAACCGATGTTTAACTTCTCGGGGATGGACTTCGGTCAAATAAAGTGCGGGACCAAGTTTGATGCGATGGCTTTGTGTTGTTGTTTTTGTCGTGTGCAGTCATTGGTGTCCTGGAACTTGGGAGCCCGGTTTCATCACAACTCAGTCTATGTGAAGTCTAGAGGTCTCTATGTGAGTCTATGGGTGAGTGTATGGGTCTCTGTGTGACCAAGTGGTTCTCTATGCGAGTCTATGGGTCTCTGTGTGAGTCAATGAGTTTCCGTGTGCATCTATTGGTCTCTCTATGTGAGTATACGGGTCTCTGGGTGCGTCTACGGATCTCTATGTTAATCTGTGGGTGAGCCTATGGGTCTCCTATGTGAGTCAAGTGGTCACATTGTGAGTCACTGGTAAGAAGAGACCATCAGCTCACTGCACGTCAGAGCTCTGTCGCTTAATCACACCACAGCGGCTTAAATCCGCATTCAAACTCAGGCTCTTCGTGATGCCGGCTCAGCGCTCCGACATTGAAGCCATCCTCGAATCACGCATCCTAGCACGGTCGCTAATTGCATCCGCTCTCTGTACATTTCACGCTCCCACTTTATTTGTCTGCCCCGATGACGGGTGGGTGAGTGATGTATCCCCACGTTTATCTTGGGTTACCGCGATTGTTTGGGACACACCACTACGGGTCTGTCCGCGGCTCTGGTTTGGTGAGACGTTGGTGAGACGTTGGTGAGACGTTGGTGAGACGTTGGTGAGACGTTGGTGAGACGTTGGTGAGACGTTGGTGAGACGTTGGTATGATGGACCGCGATCCCGCCACCTCCAAATCGCAACTCCCGGCGAGGCATTTACCACGCCCTCCCCTTCCCCCCAAACCCGCACACCCTCCACCGGAGTAAATATTCGGAGATTTAAAAAAAAAATTCACAGAAGCAAATGATCGCTCACACGGTTTGCCTTGGGCAAGAGGCACGCGGCATCCATTCCCTTCTGTAGCTGCATCATCCTTGAATGGAGCAGGTGATATTCGCCATACCATTCCTCGGAATCGCGTCAATTTAGACTTTCAAGGACACCGAATAATGCCGCGGGACCCACAATGCCCTTCTCCATTCATTTGTATTATCATCCTCCTCCTAATATATATTGTATTCTTTCTGGCCCTGACGTTCAGAACTTTAGGTGCATTCCAGACCACCCAAGGCCTTCTTCCTGTAAAGGGGGGAGGGGGGTAACATTGACCTCCCCCCCACGCTACCCCCCTCCACCCCTCCCCTGGACAAGGTTAGACATCTTAACGCTTTGCCTGCGAGACCCGCAACTGCACTGCGAACAGGTGACTGTCCATGATCAAGGTTGTTTTTGTGGGTAAGATCATCACCACCACCACCGCCACCATCATCATCATCGCGATCCGTGGGCAGAGTGCCCCCGTGAGGTGCCCACTGCCACATTTCGTCATCTGTTGTTGCCACTTTCCTCACTGTCTTGTCGTGCCCGAGTGATCAAATCGTGGCCACATCTTTCTGGCAGCGATCTCTTGCGATGTCATCGTCAAGCCTCTCTCTGTGAGAAGCCTTCCTCTCTTCTCAGTTCCTGATATTTTTTTTCCTCTCCCGAACAACGATCAACGGCACCGTTAAGGGGCCGTCCATAAATGACGTCACGCGATTTTGGACGATTTTTGACCCCCTCCCCCCCCCCCCCTTTCGTCACACGGCGTCACAAAAAGTCAGACCCCCCCCTCTCAAATATGACGTCACAAAGCTCTGCCCCCGCCCCCCCCAAAAAAAATAAAACATGCTTCAAATGGCTTTAAACTATTGTCATTGTAGTGCGTATTTAATGTGGCGCTGCACTCTGATGTAGTAGGAGAACACATTTATTAAAAAGTCTATTTAATTAAGGAGAACGTGTTGTCTATATTTATTTAAAGTTGCGCATTTTGATGTGACGTCACATTTCTCAACCCCCCCCCCCTCGTCACACATCGTCACAATTATCTGACCCCCCCCCTTCTAGGTGCGTGACGTCATTTAATGGACGGCCCTTGATGTTCCTGTTGTTGTCTACACACGTGTCCAAATAAGTCGCGTCAATAGACACGTGTCGTTAGGTAGGTGAAAATAAAATAACAAAAAATCACGACGTTTCGGCCACAACACAAGCGGCCTTCATCAGGTGAAGGGACGAAACTGTCGTGATTTTTTGTTATTTTATTTTTTACCCACGTGACTTTACCCAATAGAACCAAAGAGTATGGATCCTAGCAGTCACGAAAGCTTTAAATCTAGAACGTGTCGTTAGCCCACCAAAACCAAAGACCCCCCGTGTAGCCTGTAACAGACTGTGAGGCAAGTGCTGTTAGCGAGCACCTATTAAGGCCGACAGAGCGCACGCCGGGGGTGGGTGACCAGCAGCATGCACGGCCGCCTTTGTCTCCCTAGTTGCGATGTTTACACACCGCACTAGGTACTCATTTGAGGCTGAGTCAACCTAGGGGAGGCCCCAGGACCGTTTCAGATAATCGTCAATTGTGTTGGTGGCCGAGAGCGGGAATCGAACTCTGCTGGCCGGGTTCGTTAGCGCAGCGCTAATCGCTGCACCACCGCTCCCCACAGTTAACCCACCACCCGGCACAATGTCCGTCACGTGCACAACGACGCGCCGAACAGCTTCAGCGCACCGGAGTGATGGCAGTAGCGGCGGTGTGGGCGAGCTGGGCCGCCACGCTCCCTCGAGGCCTCTCCACGTGGAGGCGCTTTCGCTCTTCCAGCAGTGGCCGTGAGCAGCCAATCGCAGGGCTGCACCCTTCATCAACCCCAATAGACAAAGATGCCCCGTGTAGCCTGAGCAGACTGTTGGGGCAAGTGCTGTTAGCGGGCAGCGCTTATGAAGGCCGGCACGGCACACGAGGGGGGGGTGGGTGGGTGGCCAGCACCACACCCGACCGCCTTTGTCTCCCTAGTGGCGATGTATTAACACACCGCACTAAGTACTCATTTGAGGCTGAGTCGACTCGCCACACACACACACACACACCCGGCCTGCGCGTTCCATAGCGAGCATTCTACGTCTGTAACGGGGCCTGGGGAACGTATCCGTCGTCATTACTGCCTGCACCGCGGTGGCAAGATGTGAACTCTCTCACCTCGTATACAGGAGGTCGCGGGTTCGATGCCGACCCTAAACGCCTGCTGCACGTTCGGAGTTTGCGGTGCCTCTCTCCGCGAGGATTTATCTTTGGGTCCTCCGGATGTTCCCCTCCACGTTAACAATGGACGTCACGCGTTTCGAGTGGCTGGCTGCTGCATGCGACGACGATGATAAGCCGCGTCGTTGAGCTATCGCTTGTGGCCAGGTCACTTCTGAAGAAAAAAAGCTACGCAGCGTCTCAGTGAGGCCTGACCTCGCAGCAGTAGCTTGCAGACAAGCGACGAGAAGCCACCCACCGCTGGGAATGTACCGCACCTTGAACTTCTTTCCCGCCGTACGTAGCCAGCCTAGCAAAAAGCTAGCAACAATTGCCCACGCTCTGCGGTCCTCTGTATACATACACTCGCAGGAAGTACCCGGGTACTGGCCGCTATCTTTCGTGACTGTCGAGTGCCCTAATGGCTGTGTTCAGAAGGACGGGGGAGGTCAATGGCGTTACAGCCACTGTTGAGATGTCGCTCTGTCGTAGGTCCCGTAATGGGTGTTAGTGCAACGCGCCCACAAACGGGGTCACGAAGTGATGTCGCGAAGCGTTTTGCTTGAAGCGTGAACGATGGCGAGCTGACGTCCGTTGGCCGCTCATTGGAGTCACCAGTGCGTGATGCAACCGACGGCAAATTGTGAGATGAACTCGATGATGAGGAGCAGCAGGAGGAGCAGCAGGAGGAGCAGGAGGAGCAGCAGGAGCAGGAGGAGGAGAAGCAGGAGGAGCAGCAGGAGCAGGAGGAGGAGAAGCAGGGGGAGCAGGAGGAGGAGCAGGAGAAGGAGCAGGAGGAGCAGCAGGAGGAGGAGGAGCAGGAGGAGGAGGAAGCAGGAGGAGCAGGAGGAGGAGCAGGAGCAGCAGGAGGAGGAGGAGCAGGAGGAGGAGGAGCAGCAGGAGGAGCAGGAGGAGGAGCAGGAGCAGCAGGAGGAGGAGGAGCAGCAGGAGGAGCAGGAGGAGGAGCAGCAGGAGCAGGAGGAGCAGGAGGAGGAGCAGCAGGAGCAGGAGGAGGAGCAGGAGGAGGAGGAGCAGCAGGAGGAGGAGCAGTAGGAGCAGAAGGAGGAGCAGGAGGAGGAAGAGGAGCAGGAGGAGCAGGAGGAGGTCATTGTGGAACTGAGATTTGCGAGGCCAGGTGAACGTGTGCCGGGTTAGGGATGTTGACGTCACTGGGAGCGTGTGGGGAGCCATTTGGGGGGCTCCAGCCCCCCCCCCCCCCATGTGAAATGTCGGCTCACCACGTATCCGAGGTTTACCGCGGGCTTTTAAAAGGTAGCCCTGTCAAGTTTGGTGGCGATCGCTTTAACGGTGTGGAATTCTACTCGGCACAGACAGACGTTCATGTTTCTATATACAGGGGGTGCCTCAAACACGTTTTAACCCTTATATGGGACTATCGTTTTTAATGGTAATGGAACGGATACTACTACGCTGTGACGTGCTAAATACAATGTATGTTAATAGCTCAGTAGTGAGTTCAACGGAGTCGCAGACGTTCTCTTTGGAGACAACACATTTATTATCACCAACACACGGGGTGACTGCCCCTTAACAGAATAACAACCTGTGGTGGTGACCACCAGGCTAACTACACTAGTTACTGCACTAGTTACTACACTAGTTACTACATTAGTTACTACACTACACTAGTTACTACACTAGTTACTACACTACACTAGTTACTACACTACACTAGTAACTACACTAGTAACTACACTACATTAGTTACTACACTACACTAGTTACTACACTAGTTACTACACTAGTTACTACACTACACTAGTTACTACACTACACTAGTTACTACACTAGTAAATACACTACACTAGTTACTACACTACACTACACTAGCTACTACACTAGTTACTATACTAGTTACTACACTACACGAGTTACTGCACTAGCTACTACACTAGTTACTACACTAGTTACTACACTACACTAGTTACTACACTAGTTACTACACTACACTAGTTACTACACTACACTAGTTACTACACTACACTAGTAACTACACTACACTAGTTACTACACTAGTTACTACACTACACTAGCTACTACACTAGTCACTACACTAGTTACTACACTAGTTACTACACTAGTGACTACACTACACTAGTTACTACACTACACTAGTTACTACACTAGTTACTACACTACACTAGTTACTACACTAGTTACTACACTACACTAGTTACTACACCAGCTACTACACTAGTAACTACACTAGTGACTACACTACACTAGTTACTACACTACACTAGTTACTACACTAGTTACTACACTAGTTACTGCACTAGTTACTACACTAGTTACTACACTACACTAGTAACTACACTACACTAGTTACTACACTACACTAGTTACTACACTACACTAGTTACTGCACTAGTTACTACACTAGTTACTACACTAGTTACTACACTAGCTACTACACTACACTAGTTACTGCACTAGTTACTACACTACACTAGTTACTACACTAGCTACTACGCTAGCTACTACACTAGTAACTACACTAGTAACTATACTAGTTACTACACTACACTAGTTACTACACTACACTAGTTACTACACTAGTTACTACACTAGTTACTACACTACACTAGTTACTACACTAGTTACTACACTACACTAGTTACTACACTACACTAGTAACTACACTACACTAGTTACTACACTACACTAGTTACTACACTAGTTACTACACTAGTTACTACACTACACTAGTTACTACACTACACTAGTTACTACACTAGTTACTACACTAGTTACTACACTACACTAGTTACTACACCACACTAGTAACTACACTACACTAGTTACTACACTAGTTACTACACTACACTAGTTACTACACTAGTTACTACACTACACTAGTTACTACACTACACTAGTTACTACACTAGTTACTACACTACACTAGTTACTACACTAGTTACTACACTAGTTAGTACACTACACTAGTTACTACACTAGTTAATACACTAGTTACTACACTACACTAGTTACTACACTACACTAGTTACTACACTACACTAGTAACTACACTACACTAGTTACTACACTACACTAGTTACTACACTAGTTACTACACTACACTAGTTAGTACACTACACTAGTTACTACACTAGCTACTACACTACACTAGTTACTACACTAGTTACTACACTACACTAGTTACGGCACTACACTAGTTACTACACTAGTTACTACACTAGTTACTACACTACACTAGTTACTACACTAGTTACTACACTAGTTACTACACTACACTAGTTACTACACTAGTTACTACACTACACTAGCTACTACACTAGTTACTACACTGCACTAGTAACTACACTACACTAGTTACTACACTAGTTACTACACTAGTTACTACACTAGTTACTACACTACACTAGTTAGTACACTACACTAGTTACTACACTAGTTACTACACTAGTTACTACACTACACTAGTTACTACACTAGTTACTACACTACACTAGTTACTACACT